AAACAACTCATCATAGAAAAGAGAAACCTGTTAAGATAAAGAGTTGATTTGACATCACAAACCCTCTACGACTAAAGGCAGTGAGATGGCATGGTCAGAGTGATAATAGAAAAAATGTCAATATCATCTTTAGGTTTAGCCAAACTATCTTTCAGAGTGCAGTTAGCAAAAACAGTTCCAATTTTCACAAAAGGAAGAGAGGATAAAAGAAGAAAGGAAGGTAGGAAAGAAAGAAGGAAGACCTCTTAAAGAATTATGAACAATCAGATTGTGATTGAGTTTTGTCATAAATTGTAAATGAAACCTTATTCAAATCAGTAAACATGTATAGGCCTCTGTGAAATGAAGGGTATGTGATGGCTAATATCTGTAATTATTTTAAAGTACTAATTTCAGAAACACAGGTACTTAATATGTTCCATTTTCAGTGATAAAAATGTTAATAAGGAGAGCAATAGTCCCTAGCATTCTATTGTTCAGAAACCAATACACACACACACACACACACACACACACACACACACACACGTTAGTATTTGCATTACAAAAATATCTTGAACTGATCATTTCTATAGAGAGTGATTCAGGTGACCTTGGAACAGGTATCATCAAGGGGGGAGCCAAGAAACTATCAAAGCAGCATATAGGTAAGAATAAGAATATTTCAAGTTTTATTTATGGTTCTTTTATCTTATCAGAAGTTCATTTAAGTTTACACCTTCAATTACCAGTGTACCACAGGCTATTTTATATAAGAAAACTCTTCCATAATTTCTTCCTATAATTAGAACCTTAGCAATTACCATCAATGGGTATTTAGACACATAAATTGGGTTTTAGAGCTCATCTCCTTAAAGTCACCCATGAAAATCCAATGACCTAGGAATATGTTTGATGGAAGCCTTTAAAATGTCACATTACTCACTTTTCTTTCAGACCTGATTTATTAATTGCTTTGTTTATGTAAATGCAGAAAAGTTACCTTAAGGAAGGGATTAGAAGGAGAATTTAGAAAATAGTCATTGCATTGTTTCTTATGATAATAATACCAGGAAATTTTTTTATTATCTCAGGGTACTGTGTTATCAGAATTTGATTCCTTTTTAATACAATTTATTGAAATAAATTACTGCTTCTTGTTGTGGCAGATCAGTGGCTAATAGACTTTTTCACCATCTTTGACATGGCAGCAAAGGTAGTAGGCAAGTAAGGGAGCATTGGGGAAAGGAGACACTGAAAGAAAGTCTTCTAAATATGAGTCATCCAAAGGTGATTGTGTTCATGCCCCAAGTTCACCCCCTCACAGAACCAATACCCAGAGCTTCACCTTGAGGGATTGGACACTTCAGTAAAATATGAAATAGCACAGCCTTATCACTGAATATGTGACCACAAACACAATGACAACAAGTATCCAAGTGCAATGGGAATATTGCAGTAATAGATTTGCCACAATACATTGCCTAAAATGCTCAGGTTTACCATAATATATATGAGATGTAAAGGAATAGCAAGTGTGAACTATACATAGGAGGAAAGCACACCAGAACAAATCTTTGTGTGGGTTCCAGCTGTGTTTTCTAAAATTTACAAATATATAAAATAAAGAACCCCAACTTCAAAGGGGAAAAGACCATAGGTGGCTAGTTCTCATCAAATGAAAATGTGGAAAGAGAGAACGATCTATGAAAAGAAAATCATTGATGGTTTTGTTATTGAATTTGTAATTTTGTCAAGAAAAATGCATTATAGGGGCACAGGAAAAGATGGAATTGTCATAAGAATGAATCTCTACACTTGAAATAAGGGGAAAACCAATAGCAGAGCAGGGAGGAGAAAGGGGGCTGGAAAAGCATTGTAAAGAATAATGGTTGAATGTATCTAAACAAATTGAGTGAAAAATGACAATCTGCACATCCAAGCTCAATGAAATCTAAGTAGAATAGGTACAATGAAATACACAATCAGACCTATATTGGTAAAAGTTATGAGGGATAGAGAGAATGAAAAAATCCAAAAGGCAAAAAACACATGCTACAAAATAGAAACCTGGTAAAATGAAGAGCTGATGTGACATCACAGACTGTCCAGGATTACAGGCAGTGGGATGGCATAGTCAGAGTGCTAATAGAAAAAATGTCAATATGATTTTTAGATGTAGCCAAACTATCTTTCAGAGTGAATTTAGCAAAAAGGATTCCAATTTTCCAAAAGGGAAGGGAAGGAGGGAGAGAAGGAAGGAGAGATGGAAGGAAGGAAGAAAGGAGGGATTAAGGGAAAGAGAAACAGAGGGAGAAAGGGTGGAAGGGTGGGAGGGAGAGAGGGAAGGAGGAAGAAAAGGCCTGTTAAAGATTTATGAGCAATCAGATTGTGATTGAATCTTGTCATTAATTGTAAATGGAACCTTGTTCAAATCACTGAACATGTTTCAGCCTCTGTGCAATGAAGGGTATGTGATGGCTAATGTCTGCAATTATTTCAAAGTACTTAATTTAGAAGCACAGGTATTTTGGTATAATACAATCCATTTTCAGTGATAAAAATGTTAATATGGGGAGCAATAGTCACAGTCATTCTAATGTATGCAAACCATAACACACACAAACACATACACACACGCACACGCACACACCTGTTGATATTTGCATTACAAAAATGACTTGAACTGCTCATTTCTATAGAGAGTGATTCAGAACACTTACCAGGAGACCTTGGAACAGGAATCATCAAGAGGGGAACCAAGAAACTTTCAAAGCAGCGTATAGGTAAGAACAAAAATATTTCAAGTCTATTTATGGTTCTTTTATCTTTACAGAAGTTCATTTAAGTTTACACCTTCAATTACCAGTGTACCTAGAGGCAATTTTATATAAAAAAAAAAAAAAACTTCTCTACAATTTTAACCTATAATTGGAACTCTAGCAGTTACCACCAATGGGTACTTAGATACATAATTTGGATTTAGAGCTCATCTTTTTAAAGTCACCCATGAAAATCCAGTGAGCTAGGAATATGTTTGATGGAAGCCTTTAAAATGACACATAACTCACTTTTCTTTCAGAACCAATTCATTAATTGCTTTGTATTTTCAAATGCAGAAAGTTACCTTAAGAAAGGAATTAGAAGAAGAATTTAAAAAATAGAAATTGCATTGCTTAATAATTCCCTTCTTGTAAATATAATACCAGGAATTTTTTTTATTATCTCAGGGGACTGTGTTATCAGAATTCCCTATTAATACACTTTATTGGAATAAATTACTGCTTCTTGTTGTGGCAGATCAGTGGCTAATGGAGTTGTTCACCATCTTTGACATGGCAGCAAATAAATAGGCAGGTTAAGGGAACAATTTGAGAAGAAGACACTGAAAGAGAGTCTTCAAATCATGAGTCATCCAAAGATGCTCATATCCTAAGTTCATGCCCTCACAGAAGCATCACCAGAAGCTTCACACTGCAGAATAGGACAATTCAGTAAAATATTTATTAGCACAGTCTTATCACTCTGTAAGTGACCACTCACACAATAACAACAAGCATCCAAGTGCAGTGAGTAATACAGTAATATATTTGCTACAATACATTGCCTGAAATGCTCAGGTTTACCATAATGTATATGAGACAAGTAAAGGAATAATAAGTGTGAACTCTACATAAGAGGAAAGCAGACCAGAACAAATCTTTGTGTGTGTTCCAGTTGTGTTTCCTAAAATTTACAAATATATAAAATAAAGAACCCCAACTTCAAAAGGGAAAAGATGATAGGTGGCTAGTTCTCATCAAATAAAAATGTGTAAAGAGAGAATGATGTATGAAAAGAAAATCACTGATGATTTTGGTACTGAATTTGTAATTGTGACAAGTAAAATGCATTATAGGGGCACAGGAAAAGATTGCAATTGTCATAAGAATGAATATCTACACTTGAAAAAATGGGAAAAGCAATAGCAGAACAGGGAGAAGGCATGGGGCTGAAAAAGCATTATTAGAAATAATGGTTGAATATTTTTAAACATATTCAATGAAAAATGACAATCTGCACATCCAAGATCAATGAAATCTAAGTGAATAGGTAAAATGGAATACACAATCATACCTATATTGATAAAAGTTATGAAAGAAAAAAATCATAAAACCCCAAAAGGCAAACAACTCATCATACAAAAGAGAAACCTTGTAAGATGAAGAGCTGATTTGACATCACAAACTCCCCCAGAGTACAGGCAGTAGGATGGCATAGACAGAGTGCTAATAGAAAAAATGTCAATATGATTTTTAGATGTAGCCAAAATATCCTTCAGAGTGCAGTTAGCAAAAAGAATTCCAATTTTCAAAAAAGTAAAGGAGGGAGAGAGAGAGGAAGGGAGGGAAGAAGAGGAAAGGGAGAGAGGGAGGAAGGGAGGAAAGGAAAGGAAAGGAAAGGAAAGGAAAGGAAAGGAAAGGAAAGGAAAGGAAAGGAAAGGAAAGGAAAGGAAAGGAAAGGAAAGGAAAGGAAAGGAAAGGAAAGGAAAGGAAAGGAAAGGAAAGGAAAGGAAAGGAAAGGAAAGGAAAGGAAAGGAAAGGAAAGGAAAGGAAAGGAAAGGAAAGGAAAGGAAAGGAAAGGAAAGGAAAGGAAAGGAAAGGAAAGGAAAGGAAAGGAAGAAAGAAAGGAAGGATCTGTTAAATTAGGAGCAACCAGATTGTGATTGAATTTGGTTATTAACTGTAAATAAAATGTTTTTCAAATCACTGAACATGTATAAGCCTCTGTGCAATGAAGAATATGTGATGGCTAAGTTCTGTAATTACTTTAAAGTATTTATTTCAGATAGACATGTACTTTAGTATAGTCCATTTTCAGTGATAAAAATGTTAATAAGGGGAGCAATAGTCACAATCACTCTAATGTACAGAAACCAACACACACATATACACACACACACACACACATACACACACACACACACACACACGTGTTAATATTTGCCTTACAAAACTGACTTGAACTGCTCATTTCTATAGAGAGTGATTCAGAACACTTACCAGGCGACCTTGGAACAGGTGTCATCAAGAGGGAAGCAAAGAAACTATTGAAGCAGCATAAGGGTAAGAACAAGAATATTTCAAGTTTTAGTTATGGTTTTTTTAGCTACTCAGAAGTTCATTTAAGTTTACATCTTCAATTCCCACAGTACCTATAGGCTATTTTATATAACAAAACTCCTTCACAATTGCTTTCTATAATTAGAAATGTAGCACTTACAATCAATGGGTATTTAGATACATAAATTGGATTTTAGAGCTCATCTGCTTAAAGTCACCCATGAAAATCCAATGAGTTAAGAATACATGTGATGGAAGCCTTTAGAATTGTACATTACTCACTTTTCTTTCAGACCCGATTCATTAATTGCTTTGTATTTGCAAATGCAGAAAAGTTACCTAAGAAAGGGATTAGAAGCAGAATTTAGAAAATAGACATTGCATTGGTTAATAATTTATTTCTTGAGATTATAATACCAGGAAAATTTTTTTATTATTATCTCAGGGGACTGTGCTATCAGAATTTGTTGCCTTTTTCATACACTTTATGGAATAAATTATTGCTTCTTGTTCTGGCAGATCAGTGGCTAACCGACTTTTTCACCATCTTTGACATTGTAACAAAGGAAATAGTCAGGTTGAGGGAACAATTTGAGAAGACGACACTGAAAGAGAGGCTTCAAAACATGAGTCATCCAAAGGGGATGGTGCTCATAAGCAAAGTTCATGCCCTGGCAGATATAATACCAGGAGCTTCACACTGCAGGATAGGACACTTCAGTAAAGTATGAAAGAGCACAGCCTTATTGCTCAGTAAGTGACCACACCCACAATGACAACTAGCATCCAAGTGCAGTGGGAGTAACACAGTACCAGATTTGCTACAATACATTGCCTAAAATGTTCTGGTTTACCAAAAAGTATATGAGACATGTAAAGGAATAGGAAGTGTGAACTCTATATAGGAGAAAAGCAGATCAGAAGAAATCTTTGTGTGTGTTCATATGAAAAGAGACAATGATGTATGAAAAGATAATCACTAATGATATTGGTATTGAATTTTTAATTTTGACAAGTAAAATCCATTATAGGGCACAGGAAAATATTAGAATTGTCATAAGAATGAATCTCTATACTTGAAATAATGGGAAAAGCAATAGTAGAGTGGGGAGGAGGAAGGGGGCTGGAAAAGCATTTTTAGGAATAATGGTTGAATACTTTTAAACATATTAGCATTACAAAACTGACTTAAACTGCTCATTTCTATAGAGAGTGATTCAGAACACTTACCAGGCGACCTTGGAACAGGTATCATCAAGGGGAAAGCCAGGAAACTATCAAGGCAGCGTACAGGTAAGAACAAGAATATTTCAAGTCTATTTATGGTTCTTTTATCTTCTCAAAAGTTCATTTAAGTTTACACCTTCAATTACCAGTGCACCTAGAGGCTTTTTTATAGAACAAAACTTCTCCATAATTTCTTCCTATAATTAGAACTCTAGCAGTTACCATCAATGGGTACTTAGATACATAAATTGAGTTTTAGAGCTCATCAGCTTAAAGTCACCCACGAAAATCCAGTGAGCTAGGAATATGTTTGATGGAAACCTTTAAAATGAGACATTACTTTCTTTCAGACTTAATTCATTAATTGCTTTGTGTTTGCAAATGCAGAAAAGTTACCTCAATAAAGGGTTTAGAAACGGAATATGGAAAATAGACATTGCATTGCATAATAATTCTCTTCTTGTGATTATAATACCAGGAAATTTTTATTATCTCAGGGGACTGTACTATCAGAATTTGTTTTCTTTTTTAATGCATTTTATGGAATAAACTACTGCTTCTTGTTCTGGCAGATTAGTGGTAATGGACTTTTTCACCATCTTTGACATGGTAGCAAAGTAAATAGTCAGCTTCAGGGAATAATTAAAGAAGGAGACACTGAAAGAGAGGTTTCAAAACATGAGTCACCCAAAGGTGATGGTGCTCACATCCCAAGTTCATGCCCTGACAGAAGCAACATCAGAAGCGTCACATTGCAGGATAGGACCCTTCAGTAAAATATGAAATAGCACAGCGTTATCATTTAGTAAATGACCACGCCCACACTGACAACAAGTATCCAAGTGCAGTGGCAGTAACACAGTACCAGATTTATTACAATACATTGCCTAAAATGATCAGGTTTACCAAAAAGTATATGAAACATATAAAAGAATGGTATATGAGACATGTAAAAGAATTTGTTCTGGTCTGCTTTCCTCATTGGAGGAAAGCAGACCAGAACAAATCTTTGTTTGTGTTTCCTAAAATTTAAAAATATTTTAAATAATGAATCCCATCTTCAAAAGGGAAAAGACCATAGGTGGCTAGTTCTCATCAAATGAAAATGTGAAAAGAGATAATGATGTATGAAAAGAAAATCATTGATGATTTTGGTATTGAATTTGTAATTGTGACAAGTAAAATGCATTATAAGGGCACAGGTAAAGATTGGAATTGTCAGAAAAAATGAATTTCCACACTTGAAATAAAGGTAAAAGCAATAGCAGAGCAGGGAAGAAGGGGGCTGGAAAAGCACTGGTTGTAATAATGGTTGAATATTTTTAAACATATTCAATGAAAAATGGCAATCTGCACATCCAAGCTCAATGAAATCTAAGTAGAATAGGTACAATGAAATACACAATCAGACCTATATTGGTAAAAGTTATGAAGGATAGAGAAAATAAAACCCCGAAAGGCAAACAACTCATGATAGAAAAGAGAAACCTTGTAAGAAGAAGAGTTGATTTGACATCACAAACCCTCCAGGACTACAGCCAGTAGGATGGCACAGTCAGAGTGCTAATAGGAAAAATGTCAATGTGATTTTTAGATATAGCTAAACTATCTTTGAGAGTGAAGGTAGCAAAAGGAATTCTAATTTTCAAAAAAGAAGGAAGGAAGGAAGGAAGGAAGGAAGGAAGGAAGGAAGGAAGGAAGGAAGGAAGGAAGGAAGGAAGGAAGAAATGAAGGAAAGAAGGAAGGAAGGAAGGAAGGAAGGAAGGAAGGAAGGAAGGAAGGAAGGAAGGAAGGAAGGAAGGAAGGAAGAAAGGAAGGAAGAAATGAAGGAAAGAAGGAAGGAAGGAAGGAAGGAAGGAAGGAAGGAAGGAAGGAAGGAAGGAAGGAAGGAAGGGAAGAAGAACCTGTTGAAGAATTATGAGCAATCAGTTTGTGATTGAATTTTGTCATTAATTGTGAATGAAACCTTGTTCAAATCACTGAACATGTTTAAGTCTCTGTGCAATAAAGGGTATGTGATTGTGAATGTCTATAATTATTTTGAAGTATTATTTCAGAAACACATGTACTTTAGTATAGTCCATTTTCAGTTGTAAAAATGTTAATAAGGGGAACAATAGTCACAATCACTCTAATCCATGAAAATCAAACCTCTCTCTTCTCCCTTTCTTTCTCCCTCTCTCTCCCCGCCCCTCTCTCTCTTGTACACACACACACACACACACACACACACACACACGCACACACACAGCTCAGGCACACATGTATTTATATCTGCATTACAAAACTGATTTGAACCGCTTATTTCTATTGAGAGTGATTCAAAAAACTTACCAGGCGACCTTGGAATATGTATCATCAAGGGGGAAGCCAGGAAACTATCAAAGCAGCATATGGGTAAGAACAAGAATATTTCAAGTCTATTTATGATTCTTTTATCTTCTCAGAAGTTGATTTAAGTTTACACCTTCAATTACCACCGTACCTATAGCTATTTTATATAGTAAGACTTCTTCATAATTTCTTCTTATAATTATTAGGTCTAGTACTAATTAATGTCGTTTTCTAATACTTTTTAAAATCGAATTTATTTAAACAATACAACAAAATTTAATCAACAATATAGTTGCCGTTGTTTTCTACTACTTGTGCCCAACGCTCAGGAAGCATTTTAATCCCTCTGTTGTAAAATTCTTGTGATTTTGATGCAAAAAATTTGGACAATGCATTTTTGAGGCATTCTTCATTATTAAATTTTTTTCCAAGAAGAAAGTTTTGCAAAGAACGAAACAAATGGTAATCGGAAGGGGCAATATCAGGAGAATATGCAGGTTGAGGGAGAACTTCCCATTCCAACTGGCGCAGTTTTTCAGTAGTGATTCTTGCAGTATGCGGTCGTGCGTTCTTGTGGTGAAGAATTACGCCCTTCCGATTAATCAGTGCGGGTTCTTTTTCTCTTCAAGCTTGGGCTAACCTTTCCAATTGGGCACTATACACTGCACTTGTAATGGTTTGGTTAGATGGTAAAAGTTCATAATGAAGAATTCCTTTAAAATTCTACCAAACACACAACATCACTTTTTTCACATGCAAGTCAGGTTTTGGCATGGGCTGCGGAACCTCATTTTTGTCCAACCATTGAGACCGCCTTTTCAAATTAACATACAGCACCCATTTTTCATCTCCGGTAACAATTTGCTCTAAAAACGGCAAACGGTTTTGACGAGAGAGGAGCGAACTGCAATTGTGACTCTTTGATTACGGTTGTTGTCGGTCAACTCATGAGGAACCCATTTTCCAAACTTTTGGACTTTGCCAAGTGCACGCAATTGATTGGAAATTGTTTTTGTGAATGATTTAAAGTTGTCGCAAGCTCTTGTTGGGTAATTTGAGGATTTTGCACCAAAAGAGCTTGAAGAGCTTCTTGATCAAAATTGGACACACGGCCTCGACCACTCTTGTCATCTAACGAAAAATTTCCCTCGCGAAACTTCTCAAACCAACGCTGGCATTTTCTGGCGCTAACTGCATCTTGACCAAGAGCACTATAGATGTTTTTTGCAGCCTCACTTGCTTTTCTTCCTAATTGGAACTCGTAAGCATGCAGTGCCGAATATGCTCTTCATCCGCCATCTTCTTAGCCCTAGTTTTGCAACAAAAACCAAATCAAACACAAACTTTTTCAAGCAAAACTTGTTAATTGCACTTCACACGTTCTGTAGATACCACGTGTTTGACGGTTATGTCAATACAAGTCAACGCCAAGCAAGATTTTA